CAATCAGGGGTTGGGTTTAGAATGAGCCTGGCTCCAGCTATGGCCAGGAGCTTGTACAAATTTGGATTATTATGTCTACCAGGATGGCCATGAGGGGAGAAGATGAGAGAATAAGAAGTTGATTATGTGAGTGCAATAGTGTTCTCAGATTTCAACCAAGAAGGGCAAGGAAGCTGCCAATGGGTGTTGGGTACTCAGACATCTGGCGGTGGGGAGGTGGGAAGAGGAACACTTCCACATTACCGTCCTGAGTTCTAAGAACAACACGAAGTTCTGGATGTGTCTGTGGGTTTGGGAGGGCTTCTGTTTAAAGGGAAAAGTTGCAAGATACCTGAATTTTTGTCTTGCCTAACTATAATAGCCAAAGGCAAAGATTACATTTGGATGCCATAGAGGTACTTCTAAAGGGTGCTTACAATTCCTTTGCTAAAAAAATTTCTACTTATTGTTAAAAAAAAATACTGTAACATGGAATTCAAAATATAAATAAAAATTACCCAGAATACTGCTGCCCTAACAATTCAACTGTTTTGGTTTTCCTTGCTGCTTACCATTCCTTTTTAAATAAACACTCTTATGGAGAAACACACACACACACACGCACACTCACACACACACTTTTTATGTAACCTAACCATGGTGTGTGCCTGGAAGTTTCCTTCTACTGCCTCTAAAAGTGAAGTTCAGTTTATAACTCACATTCATCAGGAAATCAGCAAAGGGATCAGATTCCCCACTTCATCTCTGAATTGTAATGCCTATTCCATTCTGCCTCCTGTAATTACCGGAGTTAAGCTATATTTAGAGTGTGGTAGAGAAAGAGCATCACTATTCAAAATGCCCTTAATACTTTTAAGAGAACACATTAGAGCTAGCTGTGGCTGAAGAAACAATTATAATTTTGGTTTTTCCATCAATTTTGAAGATTTCCTAATAGTTTGCATCTTTTCTTTATTTAGAATTTTTTTGAGTGCTACTATGTGCTAGGTTCTTAGGAAACCGCTTATCTCTCAGCTGGTACCCCCCTTCCACAGCCCTTCCCACTGCTGCTTGCTCATCTTGAGGGCTCAGCACAAGTCCCCGGATTCATGCCTTCTCGGGTACCCTCCCCCTGTATTCCCACTGACTGCACCTTGTTTATTTCCTTCAAGGACCTTAATCTAGTTGTAACTGCACGTGTGTTTAGTTGCTTACTCAGTGTTTCCCTCACTCTTCTGAGCTGCCCTGAGAAAGGGATTGGATCTATTTCATTCACCGAGGAAAGGTCATATGTTATGAACACAGCTGGTAGATGGGAGCAAAAATTCAGGGAGGGTGCTTAGGGACACCCCTTGAGTTCATTCTGCATCTTATCTACCACTGTATTATCAGTACCTGGCACAGTGTGGCCACTCTCTATATATTTGTTGAATATATAAGTATTAACATGAAATGACTTTTCATTTCCCAGAAAATCTTAAGACCACCCAAGGGAAGAGGGTAGATTTTGTCTATACCGTAGGTATTGGAAGGGTTTGGGCTGATGTGGTGGTTACCCACAAACTTGGGGGGTGCCAGGTGGAGGAAGTTTTTTTTTTTTTTAAAGATTTTATTTATTTATTTGATAGAGATCACAAGTAGGCAGAGCAGCAGGCAGAGAGAGAGGGAGAAGCAGACTCCCTGATGAGCAGAGAGCCCAATGCAGGGCTCGATCCCAGGACCCTGGGATCATGACCTGAGCTGAAGGCAGAGGCTTTAACCCACTGAGCCACCCAGGCTCCCCTGGAGGAAGCGTTTTGGTGGCTTTTGATTCCGAGGTGGCCATTCAACATCAGCCATTGTACAGAGCTCATGGGACCCATGAAGGAACATATGTTCTATCATGGTTGCAAATCAGACTTTCTCCATTTGATTGTAACAAGCTGAAGATTGCAAATCCTGAGAGTTTCTTACTGACGATCTAGAGATTAAGGATGATGGTACCATTCATTCATTTTCTGATTTACTACTCCTTTTCAATATTTATTGAAATATTTCCATATTTACCAAATATTTATTTATTTATTCAATATTGAAAATAAATATTGAAATTACTCAATACTTATTTATATAAGAAATGTTTCCTGGGCGCCTGGGTGGCTCAGTTGGTTAAGCATTTGCCTTTGGCTCAGGTAATGATCCCAGGGTCCTGGGATCAAACCCTGCATCAGGCTCCCTGCTCAGCGGGGAGTCTGCTTCTCCCTCTTCCTCTCCCCTTCCCCCCAGATCACGTGCACTCTCTCTCTCTCTCTCTCTCTCTCTCTCATGTGCTCTCTCTCTCAAATAAATAAATAAAATTGTAAAAAAAAAAAAGAAAGAAAGAAAGAAAGAAAGAAAGAAGGAAAAGTGTTTCCTCCACCGGACTGGGATTTTTTTGCCTTCATATACTATTGATAACATTCTTTATCACTTATTGTATGTTGTTACATATTTTCACTCTGACGTTAAAGCCAAATATAATGCATTTCGAATTACTTTTTATGCTTTTCTCTCTTCTTAGTACAGCTATGCAAGTACATCTATGTAATACTGAGAACAAATCTCTTATTTTGGTCAACGATTTAGGGAAAATGTCAAATTTCTGATTATTGAGATAGGTCATTTAATGGTCAAATTGCCTACCATGGAGTTCTGTGTTTTTCCTTGTATGTGAAATGTATAATCAGTTCAGCTAGGTCAGTATTTATGAAACCTGAGTTTGGGGCCCACTTATTTATAGGTTTTCCTCAGAGATACCAGACATGATTTCTTTCAGACTCCAGCTGGAAATGGGGTATTAACTCCCAGTGCTCACAGTGGTAAGTAGGTGTCATTTAACGAAAGAAAACATGAATGCTTAGCAAACTTGATCTCTTTTTCCTCCATGAGTGATGCAATGGATGTTTACAGAATATAAAGACAAAAATCTTAGTTAGATGAAGTGAGTCAAATGAGGTCAAATTTTTTTTTTTTTTTTAATTTGACAGGCAGAGATCACAAGTAGGCAGAGAGGCAGGCAGAGAGAGAGTGGGGGTGGGGTAGGGAAGCAGGCTCCCTGCCGAGCAGAAAGCCCTATGCGGGGCTCGATTCCAGGACCCCAGGATCACGACCTGAGCCGAAGGCAGAGGCTTTAACCAGCTGAGCCACCCAGGCGCCCCATGAGGTCAATTTTTAAATGTTTTTCATCAATAAACAAGTTCATGGAGCAAAAGAGATAGACACTATCTAACTTGTGTCCTGTTGAGGACCGCACACATCTGACAACAAAAATCCCCCAAACTTGCCCTTCAGGGAAAAATCTTTTGACCCAGGCTACTTTTGCACTGTCAAATCAATCAGGCAAAGAACGGAATGGTGGGAGAGACCTGAAATATGAATATTCTTAAGTGTCAGTTGTCTAGTGTCTAAGTAATAGTTATTTCAGGAAAAGTAACTCCTTATTCTTTCTTCAGGTGCTGACAAAAAGCTATACTCAGATGTTTGTATGCCTTGCTTACATTTTGGAACAGCCCAAGAATCACTGGTAGGACGTTCTTAGAACCCTTTTTTGGAAAACTCTTGAATGTCCCAAGGCTTACTTTAAGATATTTTTTTTTAATTTGACAGAGAGAGAGAGAGCAGAGTGAGCGAGAGAGAACATGAGTGGGGGGAAGGGGCAGAGGGAAAGGGAAAAGCAGGCTCCCCACTGAACAGGGAGCCCAGGCAGGACTCAGGGCTCCATTCCGGGACCCCTGGATCATGACCTGAGCCGAAGGCAAGCGCTTAACTGACTGAGCCACCCAGGTGCCCCTTTAAAACTTAAAAAAAAATTATTTATTTTTATTTTTATTTTTTTCCCAAGGCTTACTTTAAATCAAGATACAATAATTCTGTAGGAGCTCTTGTTAATAGCTGGTTGGTATTAGCAGTTGCAGAAATTAAAGTGCATCACTCCCTGACTATGATATGATATCCAGTTTTCAGGTAGACTTTCCTTAGTGATCCTGTGGATTGCTTGTTGCAATTTAGGTCAATGTACACGACACTATATATTTTTTCTTTGGGAAAATTAATTCTAATGTTCTTATATGTTTTATCGTGTAGTTTTAATTATTTTGTGTTTAAGATAATATCTTTCCCCTCCCTATTTTCAAGAGATTTATATTAAAAAAATTTATAATTTATAAACCTTTACTCATATTTCCTTGGGAAAATATCCTATATGCATTAAAAAATAGATTTCTTTATAAAAGAAAAAGTCATTTAAGCCTAAACTAGAACTCAATCTTTATTACAGATCCCACTGTCCCACTGTTCTAAAATTACCTTTTATACTTGGGAGAAACTCTCCTATATATACTTTTTCTAGTGCTGAATGAAAAGACTACATTAGATTCTTTAGCTGAAAATGACTCCCTAAAGAGCCAGAGGTTATTTAATGACTGTGGGCCCAGCAAATCATAAAAGTGAGGTCCTTCTCTTGCAATACAAATAAATGAAATATATCCCACAAAGTATACTTGCTGAGAGGTCAGTAAAAGTCCCTCCAGAGACTTGTATCATAAAAACCATGCCCTCAACTCCATATAGAAAGTGAGGGACTCCATATATAAGAAGAGCTTTTCCAATACAGTCTTTCTCCACTACTGCTTTATATTTAGAGATAACAGAGGCGGAATTTAAAAAGATTACGGAAAAGTTTTACATTTACTTTTTATAAAAATTCCTGTTATTCCACGATGTCACAGCTGCTTCCATTTTTCTTCTCCGTTTCCATATTCGTTTTCTTATGGTAATCACAAAAACCTGCGATTGTGCTGTTGCGATCTGTTTATTTCCACTTTACGTAAACTTGTAAAGAGAACTATTATTTCGTGCTCTCTCTCGCCAGGACGCAGCTGAGGACACGAGGAGTCGCCCACCCCAAGAAAACCCATGATTTAGCGCGAAGACAAGCAGTCGGGGAGAGAAGGTGAGGGCGGGCCGTATCGCGGCCTCGAGGCCCCGCCTCCCCGGACCCCGCCCCGGCCCGCCGCCATGTTGTTCCCTTGGCGCTGGACGTGAGCAGCTGGAGTTGCACAGGGCAGCGCTACGGTCTCCTGGCCGCCTACCCCCGACCTTCTCTCCTCGTTGCACCCGGACGGGCCAGTCGGGAGCTCCCCGGGCGTCCTCTGTGTGGCCACGAAGTGAGTGGAGCGCGGACGCCCCTCGGGGCCGGGCGGGGGCCGGAGCAGGGCGCGCCAGCGTCGGGCGCGCGAGCGTCAGGGTCTGGGGGGCGCGTGGGCTCCGAGTGCGGCCTGGCCCTCGGCAGCTGGGGCGGGGGCTGCGCGCGCTCGCGGGGCGATCGTCCGTCTCGGGACGGGGGACGGCTTGTTGCCTCCTGTCTCCTACTGACTGACGCAGGAGAAAAGACGAGTTCCCACACCCACACAACCCGAGGAGAGGGACACACACCCAGACACGCGGGGACACATGGAGAGACGCCCAGACATCTGGAAGACACACGGGGACACACGCAGGCACTCGGGGAAGAGAGATCCATTAACACGGGACGCACACGGACCCAGACTCCCGGGGAGAGCGACACGTACGCACGTTCTCGCGGTGGGGGTGGGGTGGCGTGGGAGAGGTGCACACACAACCCCCTGGAAAACACACGCGCACACACACACACACACACACACACACACAAATACCCCCAGCCCCCCGGGGACACACAGATACACCAGCCTTTCCCTGGACACGCACATCCACGCACCCCAGCCCAACCAAACCACACCGTACCCCCGAATGATTAACATAGAGGAAGCAAAGGCGCTCGCACGGTTTGTTTTGGGCGACCTCTGACACGCTGCCTGGGTGAACATTTGCTAACGTGTTAATGGCCACTCAGTTAAGGAGTTTGGAATGTAAAGCCCATGCTGGGGGCCGGAGGCCGTTTGGGGCGTTATCTGATTGAGACTCTGGCTAAGGTTTCAGAATCGTGTTCCTTTCTTCCAACTTCGTATGTCAAGAGGCAAGATGAGAATTTAAAGTGCCGACCAAATAGTTGTGGAGGTATTAGTTGTCTTTTTGTCGTTGTGTTTTTTTTTTAAGTGATGATACATCCCGTGACCACGGTTCTTTTGAGGAATGACTTTTCTGCTAGTTTCCAAAATGTCATGTGATCACAGTCTTTTCACAAGATTTCAGCAACCTGATAAAAATCAGTAGAATTTGATTTCTTTTTTAAAATTAAAGGAAAAATCTTTACATGTTTTTCTGTTTCTGATACCATCGTAATGGAAAAAAAAATCCCTAAATTGCCTGTAGTCTCAAAAACTATCGCGGGTCCAAACTGTAGAGATGAAGGAAATCCAGAATTGTTCATTTTTTTCCAGCCATTTAGGAAGACTGTGCTTGTGCTCGCTTTGGCAGCACATACACTAAAATAGGATGGCTGTGCTTAGTTTCTCTTTCAGGAGCTTATGTGGAAATTACCATCGCTACTTGTCCGTAACTCTCAGTATCTTATTTAGATCCCCAAATGTAAGACAGTGGTGTGATCCAGATGCTTTTAGTATTTTTGCATGGGCATTGTAGTAAATTCCTCTTGCGTATACTATAAAGCTTCTGGTTTGATGACTTATTTTGGAGAGTTTCTGATTTGGGGTTATTTTTGGTTTATCATTTGTGAGGTTAGAGTAGACCAACGAAAACTAAGAACATCATTGGCCTCGGCTCTCTTGGAGGTTGGGGAAATACGTTAGTGCTCTTCCTGTTTTCCATTCTCGTGCTTTTCATTTCTTTCTATCCCCACCACTCTTTCCCTGTAGACTGTAGTACTCTGGAGGCCTGAAGCCACGTTCCTTTGATTCTAGAACTTAATTTTTAGCCTCCCCTTGTTTCTCACCATTTCTTGGGCGGTCACTCTGGCACTGGATGTTAAAGTGCATATAATTCCTGTTCATACATCATTTCACTGAATTTTCACAACAGTTTTCTGATGTTAGCTCCATTTTACTTGTGAGGAATTTGCTGGGGGTATAGGAAGGTTAGGTCTGTTTCCCAGGTAATACAAGTAGGGAAGAGGGCAGAGCCAGTATTCAAGGCAAGCCTTTGTGAGTTTTGTTTTGTTTTCATTCTTTCTTTCTTTTTTTAAAAAGATTTTTAAATGTATTTATTTGAGAAAGTGAGAGCGAGAGAGATATCAGAGAGGGAGAAGCAGACTCCCCACTGAGCAGTGAGCCTGATGCGGGGCTCGATCCCAGGACCCCGAGATTATGACCTGAGCCAGAGGCAGACGCTTAACCAGCTGAGCCCCACAGGCACCCCCTTTTGTGAGTTTAGAGCTGTAGTTCTCACCCTGGAGACATTTGACAAAGCCTGCGGGTGATTTTGGTTCGCACCTGAGAGGGAGTGCTGCTGGCTGGCATGTAGTGGGCTCGAGGCTGTGGGTGCTACGGAGCGTGCTAGAGCGCATGGCACAGCCCTCCACAACGCAGAGTGGTCTGGCCCAAAGTGTCCCTAATGCCAGGATTGAGAAACCCTGCTCTACAGCAGTCTGTGTAACTCCGGGGCTAACACGTTTCAGGGCTTCTGTAGTTCTTCAACTGCAATGTCATTTTTCCTATTTAGGATACCTCCTAATCATTTTTAAGAAAGAGCAGTGGGGAAAATTCAAGAACTTGAAGAATTTCCCTTGACCAAGAGACCTATTCATTCATTTGAGAGACTAAGGAGGGAGCAGATCATTTCTGATAACGGAATCTTTTTTCTTTTTAAAGATTGATTGATTTATTTTAGAGAGTGCATGTATGTGGGCGGAGGAAGGGGCAGAAGGAGAGGGAGAGAAAATCCTCAAGCAGACTCCCCACCGAGTAGGGGAGATCCATGCAGGCAGGGCTCTATCCCAGGACCCTGAGGTCATGACCTGGGCCAAAATCAAGAGTCAGACCAGCTGACTGAGCCACCCAGGTGCCCCCAGAATTTTTTTTTTTAAGAGGTTTTATTCTTTCATTTTAGAGAGAGTGACCGAGCATGGGAGCAGGGGAGGGGCAGAGGAAGAGGGAGAGAGAATCCCAAGCGGACTGCGCTGAGCGCAGAGCCTGCCACCAGGCTTGATCCCACAGCTGTGAGATCATGACCTGAGATGAAACCAAGAGTTGGGTGCTCAGCTGAGCCATACAGGTGCCCCCAGAATCGTTTTGTTTTTTTTTCTTTTTTTTAAGGCAAAAGTGTCAAAAAGAACTTGAGAGCCATTTCAGAGCTGTTGAAATAGACTTAGGGGTTTGGTTTCTGAATTATTCCAGTTGTCCATAAACACCGGCAGTCTGTTGGGCACTGATAGGAAGGTGCTGGTGATATGAAGGGTAATAGGGAGTCACCAACTCTGTGAAGCTTACAGTCTAATCATAATCCTAAGAGCAGATTCTGACTCTGTCTGAGAATGAAATTTATTGCCTGGGCTACTCAAGGTCAGAGGCTAGGTGTCATTAAGAAACAAAACAGGGGCGCCTGGATGGCTCAGTGGGTAAAAGCCTCTCTGCCTTCAGCTCAGGTCATGACCCCGGGGTCCTGGGATTGAGCCCCGCATCAGGCTCTCTGCTTAGCAGGGAGCCTGCTTCCTCCTCTCTCTCTCTCTCTCTCTCTCTGACTGCCTCTCTGCTTACTTGTGATCTCTCTCTGTCATATAAATAAATAAAATCTTTAAAAAAAAAAGAAAGAAACAAAACAGCTGTATACCAAATCACAGGTACCTGTAGGCCATTTACTGTGACTTAGGTAAAATGGGGAAACAGTTGATGTATTTCTTTTTTCTCTCTCTCTTTTTTAAGATTTTATTTATTTATTTATTTATTTGAGAGAGAGAGAGAGAGAGAGAGATATCACAAGTAGGCAGAGTGGCAGGGAGAGGGAGAAACAGACTCCCTGCTGAGGTAGGAGCCCAGTGTGGGGCTCACTCCCAGGACCTTAGGATCATGACCCGAGCCAAAGGTAGACGCTTAACCGACTGAGCCCCTCAGATGCCCCTGTTGTGTTTCTGATAGCTTTTTAGGTTGACCACATCTGAATATTTACAAGAATCAAATCAAGAAGCCATTCTTGTTGAGCATAAAATTCTTCCTTACATTTAGCCTTAGTAGGCAGTAGTTACACATGCATTTTATCATGGAAATCAAGAAATAAATGAAAAAAATTTTTTTTAAGATTTTATTTCTTTATTTGACAGACAGAGATCACAAGGAGGCAGAGAGGCAGAGAGAGGGGAGGACGCAGACTCCCTGCGGGGCAGAGAGCCCGATGCGGGGCTCGATCCCAGGACCCTGGGATCATGACCTGAGCCGGAGGCAGAGGCTTTAACTCACTGAGCCACCCAGGCGCCCCTAAATGATGAAATTTTTAAAAAAAACGACCTTTGCATCGTTTTTTTTTCTGTTGTTTTCCAGCCATTTCACCATACCTGTCTAAGATTAGGCCCTTCAGTATATGTATTACTTCATTGTGGTGGTCAGTGTAACTGTTAGGGGAACTTTGGGGGTAAGTGATTCAGAGGAGGAGTCCAAAGGTTTGGCTGTCTCTTTAGGCATCGCTGTGAAAGTGTTATTCATGAAGCCAAGGTGGCATGCTTTGTGGGTAGCTTTGCTTTGGACTCCTGATAATGGACAGCATGTTCTCTGTTAATTATAGATTTCTCTGTCTCTTATCAGGAGTTATCTCCTGTGGGGTGAAGGGGATGCTGAATTGTACACCTAAAAATGACTGCTATCGAATGGGATCTGGCAAAGGGATATATGTGTTCTTTCCTGATGGGAGGGATTTCATTCTGGGAAGGGTCAAGAGGAATGGGTGCAGGAGGAACCCGCGCTGGCCTCAGAGGAGGCTTACTGCGTCTGTAGTTGGCTTGCTGCTTGGCCACGTTAGGTCACCACGTTTCTTTCTTTGTGAAATGAGATGGTTGCACTTGACGATCTCTGTGAGATTATATGACACCAAATAGAGACATCACGTTACCGGCTTCCGGGTAGTTCTGCTCCAGGCAACATGCTGGTTAAGCAGCAGGAAGAAGTGAGCCAAATAGAAGTGTGCTTGTGTGTTTGAGAAACGCGTCTCACTTGAAAGCTAACTAGGTAATACATTTCTTAGTCAAAACCAAGGACGAGAAAATAGGGCTTAGTCAAGTAGGTCATCAACAGAGAACATTTAT